AGTGCCAAAGAGAGATGACATAGGGAGAAAAAATGTTTTGTTGGATTATCAATCATACCGTTTCCCACATAGGAATTTACAGGATTCTCTCTATTCAGTGCTGTCCAATAATACCTGAATAATTAAGTGAGAATGTACCTCCAGTGCTCTGAAAATATAACTGAGGCAAGGTCAGAGAGTTTGTATCTTTTGTTAAGGTATCTGATGCTAGCGGGGAGAAAAAAAACATAAACTTGCATAGACAAAAGCCTTTATCCACACTGCAAAATCTGTCCATTTAATCTATCAGTTATATATCTGATATAAAATAAAATGCTTCTCACTAGAAACTCAGCCTTGTAAATAACGAATATAAGCAAAAGCCACTGAAATGTTGTACCTAGGTTATATCCCTGAGAAAAAACTATTGGATGGTATCCACTTAGCAAATTCAGCTTTTGAAATTCTTTGAAGAGAAATAATTAGGTATCTTTATTATTCACCATAAACAGTTAATGAACAATATATAACATTTTATCCTATAACATTTGCTGGTGTTTAATAAACATGAAGAGGTACAATTAGACGCAAGATTATCTCCATTTATTACCAACTTTAAATCTTGAAATCCTTTTCTTGACTGGAAATGAGTTACTTAGCCATAGTAATTTTTGTATCTTTAGGATTAACTTCTATTTACAATGTCCAGAAAATATTTGAAATCCAGAAAACAGTAACCTTAGTGAATTACAGATATTAAATAAGTAGCTAGGACAACTGATTATTTAAGAGAATCAGCTTCTTATACTTCTGCAAGTGTGTTCAAGGGTCATAAGAGCAGTTACTGTATGCCAGAAAATGGAACTAAATTCTAACAACTTATTGCATCAAGAGATAAATCAGATAAACTGGGAAAAAAAGGAATTATTCACAATTATGGAAGGGGATTATCTGATGCAACAGAGACAACAAAGAGAGAAATCAATTTCCACTTCAACTTTCTGCTAATTAAAAACCCCAGTCCTAATCAGATGCATTTGTATCATTCCTTCTGGTTTTGCTCTTTCAGGAAGTTATGCCGTTAGTTGAGTTGGCGAAGCACTAAGATTTTGCGCTGACAGATTTGTGTCAATGCTGCCCTGCGTGCAGGCCAGATAAGGGTTTCTCAAAAGGCAAAGACACTTTCTTTGATGTTCTTGTGCCCTTTCGTACAACCTGCGGTGTCAACACTTTGCTGTGATAGATTGCCAGGGTGGGAGGGGAAGCTGTTTTACTACCATGTGCTGTGCATATGGTATCATCAGACTTCTTGGTGCAATGTCCCTTTTCTGTTGCTGCCAGACATCATTTTTCTTTCCTTCCAATTCATTCTTAAGACAAGGATTTAATTTGTTACAACTGCCTTCTACTCTTACTGCATCTGCTCTTCAAATCGCCCTAACATCGGTCCGCAATGTTAAAAATTTTAATAAAAATTCTCAAAATCAATTTTTATTGATGACCAAAATATTATTGCCTTTCCCAATTTCTTCCCCTTTCAGCTTTCCTTGTTTTGCATTGTAGTGTGCGTTTAACCTATTCAGACTATAAGCTGGGACTTACAATATTTTGCAATTACTCTTGGTATCAGCAATATACACACCCAAGGACAATAGTGCTCAAAATTAAATAAGCTGCCTTGCAGTTTGAGAAGTGGTGTGATGCTCTGCAAAATTCCTAGTTAGTTATAATTTGAATTAATTATTTCTTCATCAATAGTACAATTTACTTCAAAATTCATTTCATGGATCTTCTGGGAACAATTATTAAACAGTAGAGAGTCAAAATATTTCTATTGCTCCTCTTAAGAATGTTAAATTTCTGTGTTCTAAATAAAGAAAATATGCATCTGTATATGTAGGCTTGCACAATTTTTAGTGTTTTACTACATTAAAAAAAAGAGAAATAATATTTTCCAGGAGCATAAAGATAATTTTCTTTTTATCTCTTTTTATATACTTTTGTGCCAAAACTCTTTTTTTTTTTTCTGTGAAGATTTCTAAATAGGGAGCTCCACAACATCACTCCAAAGGGGATTCTCAGTGTTGGGCTTTTGTTTCTTTGCTTCATCTAAAATTCTCCAAGGACCACATCTGGCCCAGGTATTTGTTTTTTAAGTACTCCTGGAAAGAGTGAATGCAAACTTACCTACTTATGCAAATATGTACCATGTACAAGAATACAGAAAAAAAGGCAAGCAGGCCTGGCTTTTTGTTTGTTTATTTGTTCATATATAAGTAAACTCAAATATAAAAGCCCTTATCTCATCCTGCTGTTGTTTGCTCTGAGTCCTCTGACACCCAGATCAGGGTCTCTTAAGGTTCTACAACAGAACGTATTTTTTTTTCTTCTAATAGAATAAATATTTACTAACCCTGATTATACACAATAACAGATTTGCATTATGGCTTGAAAGTTTGATTTTTAAGATGAAGGATCAACCAGATCAGCTAATCTGAAATTAATCCTGTAAGGTATTTTCTACCTTTTCCACTTTATGGTACCAGTGCAGACTCTATGCAGTGAATTTAATGCTACTAGAAATAAGTATGCTCATCTCATCCTACTCACTTTTTTGAAGGCTCTTAAAAGGAACACATTAGCTCATGAGATCCTCAGACCACAGATAGAAAGCTGCAGCTTCTTTTAGTTTATTTTTTCATGTTTAATTTAAAATGTTATACATTCTATGTATTTATTATTTCCAAGTGCAAAAAGCCTGCACGGCTAGGAGAGTGAAACTGCATCTGGCAAACCGCTAAAATGAAAAAAACCCGAAACATTAGATGACAAGTGCCAGCTGCCCTTACAAGAGGAAGGAGAGGTTTAAGGGCGCTGCCAGGGGCCCTGAGAGCCATTCAGCGATGCCGGCCAGACGGGGCACTGGAGGCAGTGAGCCAGGTAGCCAGTTGCCTCTGTTTCTAAACAGCAGCAGAGCCTGGAATGGAAAAGACGACAGACGGTCATTCATAGAATCATAGAATCATTCAGGTTGGAAGAGACCCTTGGGATCATCGAGTCCAACCATCTACCCTACTCTACAAAGTTCTCCCCTACACCATATCCCTCAGTACCGCATCTAAACGTCCCTTAAACACATCCAAGGATGGTGACTCAACATCCTCCCTGGGGAGCCTGTTCCAATGCCCGACCAGGCATTGGAATTCGGTAAGGAGAGGCTTTGGAAAGCTGTCAGTCAGTCAAAGCAGGTGAAGAGTCGATTTACTTTGTCAATTTCTAGCAAGCCCATTTGCTACTTTACCTTTTTATTATGTTTATCTGTACCCTGCTGTTGCTTCCTGGTCCTCTTCAAGTAGGGTTTAACCAATGTAGAGACAGGTCAAGGATAGAGAAAGGAAGTCCTAACGTTCACCTCTCCACATCCTTTTGCCTAGGCGTTGCTTTATTTCCATAATTACTAAAAAACAGATTAGAGCAGCCAAAAGCGGTAGCTCTTTAAAGCATTTAGTGCTTGAATCATCAGGAGGAAGAGGTAAGACATTAAATACTTTTTGTACTGACTGTGCCTTTAAAAACTGAATTGAACTGCCAGGTAACAGACAAACGCCCAAGGTCCGTAACAGGCGTAGGTACCCAGTATCCTTATTCTTGGACAAGAGTCTTAATCCCATGTAAAGTTCACAGAAGTAATTATGGTGAGCAGTCAGCTCACCTTGCGTGGTCCTGCGCCGCTCCCCGGCGTGCAGACATTATACTGATCTATCTCATTTGTCATTAGAATTGTGTTCTCCAACTCTTCCCCTGCCCAAGCGGCCACAGAGTCGGTGAGTAGTTGTGATATTGTGTTGCACAGAACTAACTAAGATCCTGAAACATCTAAGATGCCTTCCAGAGCTCGGGATTGCACTAATACATTACTCAGCTTTTCTTCACCCATCCTTTATCTGCAACTTTATAAAAGATTTTTTTTTCCCACTTTCATTTTCTTTCAAGTGAAGAAAGGGTAAAATAAAATTGGACACTGTCCTAAGCTATCTCCAGGCACCAGGCACAGAGTGTGGAATGCTGTGATCTCCCATGGCTGCCAAAACATTTGTGTGGAATTTAAGAAATTTGTTTTGATCTTCAGACCCATAATTGTGTAGCAGACTTACCGAACAGTCAACAGAGGAAAGAAATGAATAGAAGGCTGACAGAAGGGCTTTACAGCTTGCTCTCCTCTCTTGAATTCCTTCTGTTTCTCTAAAATAGATGAGTAAGTAGACTAAATTAGACTCCCTTAATTAGTGACAATAGCCCCATTCTGGTCTCTGATGCCAATTCAGTCTTGCACAAGTCAGTGTTTCTGCAAGTACCAAGCCTGTAGTTATGTGAACAGTTTGCTACCACTTGCTGCCTGCACCTCGGGATCTATGCCCAAGGCTTACAGGGTGGCATTAAAAGCATTCTGTGCCTGAGGACGTTTCAGCCTCACACATTGCCTCCTTGGAGTGAGGATGAGTTTATGTCCTCACGACCGACACTTCAGTCACTTTCTAGACAACTGGACAACTCTGTCTTTGCAAGGGAACCAGCTTCTTTCAGGAACGCCTTGCAGGATTTTAGCCTCACGCTGCAAAACACCACAAATGACAGAGAGAATCACACACCAGAACTGTATGGAACTTGAAGATAACTTGAGGCAACCCACACAGACCATTTTTTAGAACTTGCTTTAGTAACAAAAAGAGTAGTTGTATATCCAATGAGATGAAACAGACTAAGCCTTCTTCTCAAGCTTCTTACCTCAGTTGTTACTTTAATTTGCAAACATGGAAGCATGCACGGATGCAAGTTTCCTCGGAAGCAGTACTCTGAGGAGTACCTCAACTTCCATCATACCCAAAATGGGTAATGAATGATCTGTGCCGGTAAGTTAAGCAGACATCAAACTCCCGAAGTCTGCTGCTTATCCCCAAATTGCCCTCTTACATTTCTTGCACTTCCTCCTAGCCAGTACAAATAACACATTCAGAGGATGGTTCTGAACAATTCAATAATTTTATTTGCCATTTCATTTATCATAACACACCCTAAGCATCACCACTGCCAGTCAAGATTGAATATAGTGCACCAACAACAATTTTCACCAAAAATTCTTTCTTGTCAGATTCTTCACAGGCAAGAAATATTAATTAATTCCTGGAGAAGGCATTTCAATACGTGTCACTGTTCTGGGCTTCAAAAACATTTATTTACGCTCATCTGAAATCAACCGTATGTTTACCAAACAACATGACATCACTATGACAATTCCATTATCATTAATTGTTTATTAATGATTTATTTATAATGGCATTTATTCTGGAAAAAATACCTTTGCACTGTGATTAAATTGCTTAATATTGTCTTTGAATTGAGGTCAGGAGGAGGTCAGTTTAAGGCAGCGTCCGAATGGGTTACTATACACTTGGATAAATGCAATGTGTTGTCATCTTTATTTGAAGGAGTGCTTAACTGGAATTGAACATAGTTTTCAGACAGAGAATTCATAGCATCTCATGATGCAAACTGTATTTTCTGTTACAAAGAGATCTTTTAAGTGTAGGCCAATATACTGGTCATGGGTATTTTAGGGTACCTTTAGAATTTTTGTAACAAAATTGTACATGTTAAAAAATTACAATCACACACAATCTTTTGTTCACGGAGATGTTTATTTTTGTCTTCAATGTTTGTAGGGAATACGATTTCACTACAAAAGTGTCTCAGAGAAACTCCATTCAAAGTCCAGGCTTAAGAATGAAGGGAAAATATACTTTCAGCTGTACCAGTCCTGAGCAAAGTTTAAAAAAAAAATTAAAAAAAAATCCTCTAGAGATAGGAAGCAGCACCAATAAAACCAGAGGGCCTCTTACTGATATCTCATGCTTGCTTTTCTGCTTGAGAATTGGTAAAAACTTAGGTAGGAAGAATTACTTCATTAGAATGTGGACCTAAGATTCACAGTCCCAACCGCTCCTCAAATACCATGCATTCTTTTACAGCCAGAGTTCAGGGCCTCAGTTTTACTTTCCATTAAGTAGTCAGGACTGCTAACAGCAAGCCTGTTGCCCCCACGGTGTAACATTTTCTCTTACTTAAATTGGTAAATAAATATTTATTTAATATACTTCTTTTAATAAATATTTATTTCCTATCAATATCAAGTTCCTGAAAAGTTACATTGTTCTTAGAAGTATACTACTCACAGCAGTTATAAAACTTCTGATAACATCAGGTCTCAAAATAATTCAAGTGGCTTACATTCTGTCTCTTGTTCTTTCAGTGAAAGGATTTCAAAAGCCATTGGTAACACTCAGTACTTAATAGTTGGTTTATCCAGGACATTCAGATTCAATCTGACAAAGTAATTACTTCTAAGAGTCAGAACAGAAAAGGCACTTACTCATTTTGGGGAAGACACCTGGCAGGTAAGATTTTTATTTTCAAAATAACAAGCCCTTTTTCTGACAATAAAATCCTTATAAACTACTGTTGGATAAACATAAACCCCATGAATAAAACCAACTTACGTATCTCTTCCCAGGAAAGATAATACTGTCCTTGATTGAGAAACTGAGAAATCCAGAAATAATCTGAAGTTTTATTCACTTCTGTGATATTCCAGTAGGCTATCACAGCTGACTAGAAGAAAAAGTCTCCTCCAAAGAATGTATGTTTCATAAATTGAAAGCCTCAGAAATTTCCGGACTATTTCTTATTAGGTACTTGTATCAGCAATAAAATATAAGATTCTAGTGTGTTATAATAGCCAGGAACATCACCTTGGTTACGACCGATAACCTGTGACTCCATCCAGAGGAGTAAATCTTTTATCCAACTTCCTTTCCATTGAACCGTTGCCTCAGTGATGCTCTGCGTAAGGCACTTAGTAAATTTTAAGAGCATCTGACGGTGCTGTTGGTAGTTTTGATTTGTCTGTGAGGATGCTCTACCAATGCTTCAAGATTAATGGGCTAAGGTGTGGAATAATCACTGAAAACAGCCATATGAACTAATGGCCACAAATCTCTTCAGAAGCCACATCCATTCTAGTCTGGATTCTTATTAACCCTTCCACATGAAGTTACCCTTTTCCTAGTAGTCCAGTAATCAGGATCTTTAAAACTGGGTAGTGTCTACAGGAAGAATCTATTTTGCTCCTGACTAGCTCTTTAATCAAAACTACTGCCCTTTCAATAAATGACCTGTACCCAAGAAAGAAACATTTGTGATATTTACTATGATATTCACAAAAAACTACATCTATCTTTAGGCCAAAAAGTCACTGAACCAAGAAGTATCAAGAATTATAAAGCAACACACACCTGTAAGTGTGGGATGCTGCCTACTTCCAATACAGCACACAGAGAACGGAACACTAAACACACAAAGAAACATTATATAGTGGCCTTTCTCGGTATTATTCAGAAAATATATTTTCTTTGTTCTTTTCCCCCCTTACCCTCTGTCTTTTTGTGGGACTGAGGGTTTTTGAAGGTGTTTGACATTTTAGAAACAGAAGCTATTCAGAATTTCTGTAGGAAAACCAAGAAAGCGCCCAGTATCCGTGCATGCTCCTCAGCTCTCTTGCTCCAGCTGGCACCGAGAGAGTTTTCTTGCACCTTTCAAAAAGCCTCCAGGTACTGCAAGTTACTTGGCAACGTTACGCCTCCATCAGCTGGGAAGCATTTTGCTTATTTTTCCATGTTTGGAAGTCTCTCAGCAATAGAATCACACCATTTGCAGAAACGCAGATATGAAGACCAGTAATTGGCATCCCAGAATGCCAGCTACCACAGCCAGAATGCTGGAATGGTACAGGATTTACTGGTGTAAATAAGTTTGCTCAGCAAGAATCTGTTCAGTCAAGTCAATTATATAGAGACAAGGACAGTGGTGACAAAATTGAAAGATGACCTCCAAGCTCCACAAACTGTTGTTGGTCTTACAGAAGCCAAGATACAGTTGAAGAATGGGGACTAGCAGTCAAATTCCCTAGCTGCAAAAGCAGGCATGATGAATTATTTCAAACTCACTGCATCCACTTATACTATAGATGTAATTTAAAAATAAAAGTAAAACTAAGAGAGAGAAGAAGGAATCAGAATGTGTTCCCTTCGGAAGTGGGAGTAGTGATATTCAACAAATACATGTAATCTTAAGAGATTTCCCTTGCTGAGATTAATTCATAGCTGGAGGCTGTTACAGTAAGAGATGATTAGTCAGATGGCAGATTTCCTTGCTCAGAGATCTGTGCAGTTGGGAACTGGGCCTGGCATTGAAGCATGTTGATTTATTCTGTGCAAAGAAGGATCAGCTTGAAATAGATTATTCATGGATGGTAGTTATATATTAGATGCATATAAATAGCAAATTAGATCCCTGTATTTCCAAAGTGGGTATTCAGAAAGCAGAATCGGCCTGACAACTCATCTTAACTAACAGATGGTAAGTGACTGAACAATTCCATCCTTTCCTAGTGACAAAGTACCCGCAACTGCCTGAATCAAACTGAATTTGTAGAATCTAGTGAGCTTGGGAAGGGGGTAAAGAGCCAAATTTCATTAGCCCTGGTTACATTATTTCCTTAGCCCTGGTTACATTATTTCCTGAAGATGTATACTTCAGCATCTTCATACAGAAGAGAAAAAGTATGAACACATGGTTAACAGGTTATCAAAAAATAGATTAATAGTCTTTTTTCCTCAATTGTCTTCTCAATAACTCCACTGTAAATTTGAGGTCCATTGGCCTAAAGCCACATTTCTTAAAATCTTAAAGTTTAAGGGAGCTTTTCCACTTCACAAGCACTTTGACTAAGATCAACATTTATACACAGAGAACAGTATAATTAAAAGATTACACTTTTCCAGGTGGCCTAGATCCTGAAAATGTAGTCCTGAAGGAGCTTTTTTGCTCAAATATTCCTACCTCTGTCAAGATATGCTATACTTTCTACAAAATAATTTACAAATTGGGACTATTCTTTAAATTATTGTTACAGGAACAGTATTTTTTCCTGGTGGTAATTTTCTTCTTTAACATATGGGACAAGGAGTGATTAGATAGAATCATAGTATTATCATCCTGTTTTTTACAAACGCAAAATGGTACAGCAATCTCTTGTGATCTTTTTTAGCAATACTCATTTGAGCTATGGAATATGTTTTTGCCCTTCATCTTCCATGTTTAACTCCTTAACAGTACAGCTAAAACTTCCTGTGCACCTTGAGCTGTCTCCTCTTAAAATCCCCTGTGTCAGTGGACACAGCAAGTTATTTCAGGTGACTTTTATCTGTTTCCCATAATAAAAGGAGCAAGATTAGGATCAAAGACATCTCCTGAGGGAATAACATCTCTTGAGGGATTAAGTATTATATGGTGGTGGTTCATTTTAATCCATTTTCACCAATACAGAAGCTGTAAACAGCTCTGGCATTACTAAGACTCTGGGATCTGAAATAAATTCATTTGTTTGCTGCATTTTCTATTGCTGTGTGAATCCAATGGTATAGTTCAGGTGGGGGCCAGGAGGGGATACCTGGACTCCTAGGCCTTGTTCATAGACACATCACAGTCTTCTCGTGTGATGCCTTAGGAAAGTAGCAAACATCACTTCCTGTTGGATAATACCATTTACTCCATTCATATCCATCTAGGGGGGAAGTTACAATAATTTCTGTAAAGTGTTCATTTGGAATTAACTTGTGAAGTACTTTTTGGATATTAATTTAGCAGTTAAATCCTGTTAATTCTTATTAAAACATGGGTTCTTCTTCAGATGTCAAAGTAAGCTCAATATCTGAAGTTTAAACTTTGACAGTACAAAAGAGCTTCCTCAGTCTGAGTGATTTTACTGTACAGCTTTTGCTACTTTGTGAAGCTACAGCTTTTGCTACTTTGTGAAGTTACACCCTTTCAAACTGAGACTGTTTTGACTTAAGTCATGGGATAATTTCAGGTAAGAAAAACCTTTGAAAGTTTGAACAGTGTTTCCAGCACACCCAAATCTTAACATTGATAGAAGTAAGCATTTGCAAATTATCATAGCCAAAACCAGCATTAACTTTTTATCTTACCTATCTTATTCCTGAGTAAGCACAGGCAAAATTTACTACAAGTATAGCACTTGCTGCTGCCTTTGGAGAAATTAAATTAAATTGCATTTCTATTTCCAAATAGTTTCTGATATTTGAAAGGAAGCATACCCAGCCTCCCTAGCAGGGAGCAGAGTGAAAGAAAGGCATGTGACAGAAAAAACGCAAGCAGATACAGTTAAAGAACCCTGGATGTACATAAGAAGTACACAATATACTGCTCCGTGCCAAATCCATCCTGTATGACAAAGTATAATCATTTAGCATAATGTGGGAAACTGGCTGACTTTTGAGCCAGGAGAGAGAAATATTAAAGAATTTAAGATGCAGAGCCATACGTTTGTGTCAAGTTTAGAAGACCTGCCTGAACACTACAGTGAACTGGTGAAAACAAATTATAAAAAGTATTCTGTCATACATGGCTATCTAAAAATGTGCTATCCATAATATTAAAAAAGTAAAGTGCACAAATTATAAAATCTAAAAAAAAATTTGAGATTTTACAATCTATGCCCCAAAATATCAAATATCCAGAGAAACATGTAATAGGTTAAAACTTCAGTCATAGTCTTAATTTCAAGACTTTTTATATCAATATTTTTATGGGTTTTTTTTTAATTTTCTTTTTACTAACACTTCTGTTATATGGCATAATTTAACTTGCTACTAATTAGAACAATTTTTGTTTATCTCTAATATACATACTTAATTTCAGGGGGAAAAAAAAAAAGAAGAGGACCATGGTCTACAACTGTATATTTGTTCTTTTCCATATACCACCTATAATTAGGGGCAAATTTAGGATAATAAGAGACTGAGTTATTGTACACTTTATCAATGAACTAATTATACTTCATTTTTCCCTATTTCTCCCCCTTTTCCCTTTCTGAAACCAGACAATCAATCAGCAAATAAAAGAACTCATTTATATGGAACATGATTACACTTGTCTCTGTCGGGTCACCATTTCATGAACAACCCGGGATCTATGGCTGTTGAAGACTGGTGCATATATAGAATTTAACAAATAACAGTTCTTATGCTGCGAGCAGTCACAGAGAAAAATAGCTAATCAAAACACATTACAACATTAAATTTTCACTCTTTATAAATGGAGTAAAGATGCTTTTAAATATATTTACAGTTAGAAAAAGGATCTAGGATTACTACAAGTCAAAATTATTTAGAAATTATGAAGTGAAGTTCATTTAAATTATAACATTATGAACAGAGTCAAATGCAATATTCTACTTAGAATTTGTCTACTCTGCTGTCAGTATTGTCACATCCCTTTAATAACAAACAGGCAAAAGTTCTTGACTTTGTTTAATGCCCAAACAGGCATCACTGCAATGTAAACACTGGCAACATAATTGTTCACTTAAAACCACCACAGCTCAGTTTTTAGATCCTAGCTGACTTGTGTCGTATCTGTGGTTAGAAATCGCTTTTCTATGTCTTACTCCATAAAGAACAGTGAGACTTTTCTGCATTCTTTTTGATTATAACCATACTTGTATCACTTTTTTTTTGAGATTATTCTCTAGAGACAGTTGAATCATAGTAAAATCCACTCCATCCTCCCTTCCTTTCAAACCAAACCGCTACTTATTTCCGAAGATACAAAGAGACCTCTTGTTGGCAGTGCTGGGTGTTTTATTCACATAAAGTTAAATGAAAATACGTTTCCCATTTAGTGAACTACTGGTAATAGATTATTACTTGTTTGCAAGGAATTCTGAAATGTGTTAGCATTCATTACATTTTAAATTAGAGACACATTTCATAAAACATCTTGCGATGAGATTTGCTATCATTAAACTGCTTACTTTAAACAGTTTCGGTTCTCTTGTAATCCATTACATCAGTATATTCTGCAAATAGTCCCACCTAAAAATAAAATATAAAAAAATAAAGTTGAGAAGCATGTATTTTTCTTTTAAAAACTAGTGTATGTTATTCTGAACACCAGCCCCGCCCCAAAAACATTTAAGAACCTTAAAATGCATTGTTTTACAGATACTAAGATTTGGCCAGGTAACGGCAATGAACAGACATCCTATTTAGTAAGATAAAGCAGAATACATAATAAACAGGTCAGTAGTTATCCATCTGAAATAGCCTATAATTAACATTTGATGTCTAAAAAGTTTAAACAGCAACACCAAGGAATGAGGTATGTATGTTCTCAGATATCACATCAGACTTTCATTTTATGCAACTAACTGTATTTCACAACTAGCATCTTACAAAATAGAACAGTACCATTGTGCCTGTAGAAGTACTGCATTAAAAACAGAAAAATACATTACTACAAGAAACCACCAAACATCACAATTGTCAGGGGCTACAAAAATCCATTGCTTTAGCTGTTAAGAAGACGTATCATACGTTGGTAATAATTTGGGGCTGGATTCACTACCAGGAAGGTCCATCCAACTTTTACATGGGCTTAAAAATATATTTCTTTTAAACGAAAGAGAAAAGAATCACAAGAGTGTAAGTGAACTACCTCACTAAGAAGAGCTAAATGGACTTTTGTACTGAACCTGAATCTATAATTTAAAATCTATACATGGATTGTATGTGTGCATCAAAACACTTATTGGTTGTAAACAAAAATGCAAAATCTGTATTCACAAAAATATTTTATTGGTAATTTTATATAATACCAGATGGGATTGTAAATAGTTCTGCTCTGTATCAGTATATTGCTAAGTGCATAAACGTCAACAGTTTATGCCATAAAGGAGGGTACTAGGCTTTTTGATATGATTTATGTCATAATATATTCTAATAGCCAAATCAAAATTAAAGAAGTTGATTCAGGAACAAAAAATTAATAGTACTGTTATTTCCTTATTCTTGTGCAACATCTGATATTCCTGTCATGAAATGATAAGTGACTATATGACACTAAGTAAATTTGGGGCAAGGAAACAGCACTAAGAAGAAACAAGAACCGCACTTCTGTAATTTTTAAAGCTTTTGCAAATTTTCGTATTTCCAAATGTTAATTTTTGCCAATTGCACAGTCACCTGAGGTTCCATATTTGTTCCACAACATAGAATACCAGTGTACAGTGACAATGTAGTACTTTACCTGAATTGTAAGGTTAACCAATCAATGCTTAAAATGTGTTTTCTATTTTGCTTGTAAACATTACAATAAGTGTTTTAAGTGTGAAAAAATATTGGTAAAACATAATTCAGTAACAGTAATCTAGTAAAATGTGTCAAACATTGGCAAAAATTCATACAAATGTTTTATTTAATAACATTTTTCCTATTTAACCACACCAAGTACCAGCAGGTGTTTTTAAGAAGATAATTATTATGAAAATTCTCTTGCAGCAATAGTTGATTAAGTTGATCTCTGACTTGCATACATATAACTATGTTTCACAATTCTCAAATAATACATATTTAGGCAGCTTGAACTATGTTATAAAAATTTAAATTCAGTACATGCCAATAGTAGAGACTCCAAGAGTTGTGTTAGAATTCACTAACTAAAAGTGAAAATGGACTTACCAATAACACTGCATAATGAACATTCAAACCACATTTTCATGGCACCTTTACACATGAAGATTAAAAAGTTGGTCTGAAAATGCTTTGTAAGCATTTATAGATTGCATTTAAATTATTGTTTCTACCACTGCACTTTTTTCTTTTTTTAAAACTGCATAAATTATGTTCCAGTCAACATACCAATTATGCATGGATAATCTGTCATGAAAATGTGGTAACGGGCGACAGAAGTTATGTATTTGCATGTTTTGAAGAGAAGAGACTAAAGAAACTGGAGGAAATAAACTTTAATGAGATTCCCCATTCAGTGATGACGCTTCTCCTCTGGGTGAAGATGACCTGGACATTCCCCTCTCTGTGTTGTCAGAGCTAGAACCACTCTGACTGTGTTGATCTGCAGAAGCAGCACTGGAAGCGGGCGGTGACTTAGTTTTCTCCTTAAAGTCTGTAATTATGACTGTCAGATCTCCAACGGTAACTTCCAAATGCTGAGCGCTACTTCGATCCACGTTTTTCAACCGTGGCCTAAATAAAGCAAATGATCACATTAAAAGCACACACACCATCTTATTAGTTTGTCTTCCTCCTACTCTTTAGGAGCTCCAGAGAACATACATGTGGACATAGGACTGCTATGTGCAACACATAACACACAGGAAAACAACACACCACAAGTATTTACGGTAGAGTGTTTCCTAATCTGTTTAACACCTGAACATAACACATTTCCTTCTCCTTAGATTATTTAAAAGTTGACCTTATGAATAATGTAACTGTGCAGCAATATGGATGTGTTGCACATGTGAGGGCTTTTACTTTTAAAAATCAAGTCTTTGTTTACGGTGGCTATACAAAGTTATGAATTCGATCCAGAGACGCATCCATCTCTGCAGCAGCCTTAAGCCACAATTCAAAGTAGAGAATGATATTCGGTAATGAAGATGTTGGTGCCTGTTCTTTTGAATTCAACAGCACAGACAGCGTTAACTTGCTGCAGGTATTCCTTCATTTCAAAACCTCACTAGTACACTATTTGACCTGGACTTTGTGTTCCCAGCATAACTCTGGTATTGCTGACATACGCTGTGATTTAAATTATGCACAGAGCTGAGCATTAGGCACAGCCTCAATAGGGCAAGTCTCTTCAGCTAATCTTTCAATTGTTTGATTTTCACAACATTCAGACCAGAGAATACTTTGGCTTATATTCTGCCATCATTTTTTTGCTAGTGACAAGCATAAAGTATTTCCAATTTACTACTTTCCTTTGACTACCATCAAAACCCGTCACCAGACAGCTGAATTTATACAACCAGTTATGAAAAGCACAGCTTTATGCATTTAACTGACTCCACAGCTTTCACTAGCTCAAGCTGCAATAAAATTAATATGACATCACATGTTAGCAGGTGTGCTAACAGCAAAGCCCTAACCTTTACCCTATCATCTGACATTGTTTGAAGTAGAATTGGGAATTGGTTCCCAGTCACTTCAGCTGAAACACCTCACGCCTTTTCCTCTGCTGGAATAGAGACAGGCTTTGACGTCTCGTCCCCCTGAGGCTGAAGTTGTGTGACTGAAAAATTTAAGAGAAAACTGAAAATCTGCTGCTTTGTAACATGGGAATGGAGAGAAAAATTCCGCATTATCAACCTGCATAAGTGCCGTGCCTGGAGCTTATTAATCATACCGAATGTGCACGCAGATCTTTTATGAGCATTTCCAGCAAGTTTTCAGGCAAAGAGAAAAGGATACCCTTTTCCCAAAGGATACTGAAGGAGTCTGCTTAAATTAATCAAGCATTCTTAACCTGCTATGCTACCTAGCGACTCAATTCTGTGAAAAATTGAACTGTTTGAAGCATTAAAAAAAAAAGAAAGTAGCCTAGTTATTTGAAATAGCAATTCTTAATGCAAATCTCAATACTGGTATTTCAGTCTAAGATTTTTATTTTAGTTATTTTTTAAATGTTCTCCCTTTTTCCCTACCTCACTTTTGCATTTTTAATGTACTATCGCAATTCAACCATCAGTATTTCAATTTATAAATATTTAATTAGCTTAATTAAAACTCACTATGTTCATAGAATCATACAATGGTTATAGTTGGACAAGACCTTAAAAATCATCTAGTACCAACCCTCCTTAACATCAAATACTTAATAACTGAAGTACTTTAGCTGCATGAGGTAAGCTAGTAAATTTCAGTTTAAAAAAAGAAGACGAAAAGAAGAAAAAGAAGGAACATCTCAGTGTCCTTAATCCTAACCATGACTTTAAGAACTGTTCTCTCTTGATTCTCAATCTCTCCCTGGATCTGATCCTCACGAACTTACTCCGGGCACAAAAGAAGCAAAAAAGAATAAATATCCATAGTTCCTCCCACATTTGATTAGACTACACATCTTGTACACTTCTGAGCTTTGTGGTACAGCATTCTTGCCACAGTAACTTTATGCTTAAGACTGCAATGATTGAGGGGTTAAGCTTGCTGCTTTTGTTTCCCAGTTTGCACCTTCCTTCCACCTGGTCTCACAGAAAGATCAAGGCTTTTACAACTGCTTGTCTGTACTCTAATATTTCATGTTCTCAGTTCTGAGAGTCCAAGGTTTCGTTCAGCATCCCAGACGTAGCATAGAGATTTTTATTGCTAGGTAATATACATGCCTTATCCTGTCACATTAATTTATACCCTAAGTCCAGCCCTTCAAAGTTTGTTCCAGTTCTGCAAGGATAGCAATAACCATGTTACTTTCCCACTCTTCTGCAGCCTGCTGCTGGTTCTCTCTCTCTTCTATTATTTTGTATGAAAACTAGTCACTCCTGTCCCCTCTATTTTTTAGAGACTAGTATCATCTGTTTGCCTATCTACAGTTTCGTATGGTGTGAGAAATACATCTGTAACCCTTAACAAAAATACCCAGGTCTTCCTCTCTCTACGCATTCAGCTAGTCTCCATCTTCTGGTCAAAATTACAAACTGCAGGTTTTCTTCACATTTTATAGGCATCCTAAACCAATAAAACTTCACACACAAATGTTTAGCCAAACAACAAATTCTTTCAACAAGTATGTTGAAAGAATTTGCCACAGCACTTACAAAGCAGCAAAATTACAGAACATTTTCTTATTTTATTTTTTAAATCGTTTTACCAATACCACAAAAGTTTCTAAAATTTTGTACCTGGTTTTCTTATGACTGTTCTTTTTGCTTGTTGTTTCCTTTTCACTTTTTTCCTTTTCTACTTTGTCTTTTTTCTCTTTCTTGGATTGCGTAGGGGGCACGAATTGCTGAGGAACCTGTTGTGCAACCAGCTGAGAGACAGGTCGAGGTTTCCTGTGTGCACATATATACACATAAAGCTTAGACTTTACAACAAGTCTCAAACTCTCTACACTTCAGTTATTAACAATAACAATCACTATAAAAAGAAATCGTGTTAAAACTTGTCTTGCTGCTAACACTTCATTAAAATAGCACATCAAATTTAAAACCATTACAACCTTTTGTTTCACTTACTTGCATTATCAACAAATGAGATTTTCTTTGAATATTTTTTTAAGGAATATAGAGACAAGACTTTGCAGTGTTCCCTCTTCTCTCAGTTGTCATATCCAGTCAGAGACTTATATGGAGTGAACTCCAGAAGGTATTCCATCTGGAAGCTTCACTTAACCACCCAATCCCAGCCCCCTCAAATGAGGAAGGGGTCTGTTTTGAGTCTCCTGCAATATTGAAGTATACGATCCATATCACAAAAGGGTAAAAGCTGGCCTTTTGGGTATCAAACCTAAAGCCACTGTTGGCCTTCTAGAGTAAAACTTAATTGTTTTCAGCTCAAACAAATTAATTGAAAGCAACAACAAATCCTGTTAAATTGTGTATCTACCAAGTTGTTCACTGGAATAAAAGATACACAGCACCGATCATAAACAGTAGATATAGCTGTCAGAACACAGATACACTTGAAAAGCTGGCAACAAAAACTTCCAACCACATTCCATCAGTATACACAGCACAGTTTCCTTTCCAAGTTTTGATCCAAACTAAAAACCAAGGTGAGAAGAGGAACAGCAGGCAAAAGAATTTCAACAGCTTATTATTTTTACATTTTGTGAAATATTATTTTGAAATAGCGTAATTTTTATTTTATTTTGTATTGGAATACAAGGATTCTAATGTGAAATGAAACATTTTTCTCTTTCCAATGCAAAGGCATTTCTTTGAGATTTTGGAGTTAAGAACTTTCAAATGATGATACATAAAAAAGCTTTGTTAAGACTGTTAAGACTTTGAGGATGCAAATTTCTTCTCCAAAAGAATGTTTACCCTGCCAAGCTCTTGGGTTTTGTTACTTGAATTTTGCTGTTGTTTTTTTTTAAATAGAAAAAGCACAAATTACATGCACTGTGATACTCTGAAAACACAAAGCAGTTATTAAAGCAACAGAAGCTATCAGCTCTTATGCGTATTTATTTATCCCAACCCACAGGATCACACTACTGGCACTTCTTGTTTAGGTGAAACAATGAGTAAAATAACAAAAGCAGAAAATCAAGACAGCTCCCATTAGCAAGTTATAGTTTCAGTAACGATTGCAATAGTTCATGTTACAGAGTGAAAGCCAAGTTACAAGAATCCACAAACTGTGGGGAAGGCAGTTAATATTAAAAAAGCTGAGATTTCATGAGTCTTCACAGAAAGTTCTTATGAATTAAAGTAAAAAATAAAGACTATTGAAAATGTCACCACAATATAACTTTGGGATACAAACTAGACTACCACATACCACTCATAAACTAAGCCCATGCTGACTCGTGGCGAGACAAAGATGAGCAATGGCTCACTTAGTGAATACTACCCAGCTTGTACCAACTGGCAAACACGTGACTACATGCTCTTCAGGAGAGATTGATACTGGGTCCTTGGAAAACACACTGAAATGACTCAACGGACTACAGTTGTTTACATTAACAGCATATATAGGAGATTTTTAAGAAAACTTGCCTCAAAACTGTTTCAACCATTTTTCATAGTTCATAACAAAGGAAGAAGAACCAAGGTGTAACTGATGCACAAGCTTATTATTCCAGGTGGAAAAAACCTCTGATTATATACATATATATATATATATATATATAAATAAAACTGATCATCTGTCTTGAACTGAAGACTGCTCCAGGAGATAGGGATACAGGGAGTTAATATTCTTAGTGATGGCCAAGTGACAATCCCATCATTACTGCATAGTGACCTGAGAGAATAATCTGACGTTACTTATGAAGTAAGACAGTAGCAAACCTCTCCACACAAAATTAATTATTTCCCAGGGCTGTTGACAACACCATGGTCACAGAAATTTGTTAAAAAGGGGTAGAGAGGGAAAAAAAATTCTTAGCCAACTATTTTAGGAGTTCTCAATTTGCAACAATTTCAGTTCCTGAGGGCAAACTAGATGACTTCTATTAGAGTACAGCTGGGAAATCAAGCTTAGAACTAAGTCCTAGGTTTAGAACTTCTTTTTCTAGTACCATAAAACAAATGAGACTGACAAAAAAAATCTTTGCCACAAGGAACAGAAGTCAGCTAAGACAAGAAAAACACAGAGAAATCATGTTTGGGAAGATGCACTAAAAATTAATCAAAGGATTCTATGTGGTTCTGCTGTGACAAGGAATTCCACTCAGTTATTTCATTCTTCCCATTTAAACATCCATCTTTTTGTTGTCAATTATTTCTATACCTGTCTGTCATTTATATCTATGTTCTGAATTTTATTACCTGCTTTGTCACTTCCAGATTTCTTAAATAAGGCATTCAGTGTTTTTATATTAAAAAATTGAAGAAAAAAATAAATTCACCTCTGTCAATACTAAGAGTGTCTTTCAAGCATTCAATTTTTTTTTCGCGAGGTACTCAGGTGCTACTGAACTGCAACCAAGCACTTTGCAAGGCATGCAGGCTTCAGGAGATAACTTTACCACTCATGAAGCTTTAACCTGATAGAATTGTTCATGATTTAGCAGTTATTGAATCATATCATTCAAGCATGAAGGAACTCATACAGACAATGCTTTCTCACAGAGAAGATAAATGTAAGAAATGCTATTCCTGTAACAGGAAATTGATTTTGATGATTTGCCAAAATACGACATTTTAAATTACTGGTTTTCAAAACCAGTCAAAGATTCCTTGTAATAGACTGCTACAGATTAAGTAGATACAGACAATGTTAACACCACCTTTTTTTTCATCAATACATTTATAGTAATTTGCTTTTTGAGCATATCCAAGAGTACCTGACCTAACTGGTGTTTAGAAAGAAACTCTATGAATTTCTGCATTATGATTACAAGCATTTTTGCCTTTATCAGTGGGAGTGACTTTACAACTGAACAATCCAGAACTACAGGCAGGAATGTTCATAAATACAACATCTATTGCTCAGTCAGCTCCTCAAAACTTTGCATTTTTATCTAGCAATTTCACTTCAGTCATTTTAAGTGGAACACTAATCAAGAGAGGCATACACTATTACAAAAGATAAGAGCTATCAATTCTTTCCAACAGAGGTGGACTTTATGGTTTAGGCTGTAAGCAGTGCAGCTGTACCACAAACTGATTTACTGAGCTTCCAAGAGACCGCTAAATACCCCAGCTCTGAATATTATCCTTCTCCTTCTCTATCACTTAGTTTTCCTTTTCAGCCAGTGTTATTTTTCTTCTAAGTTAACATCAGCCAGACTTTCACTGACATTTCTATTCCAACCTCATCTATTATGGTTTTATTAATTATCTAATTCCAATGTTGCTTTCAAGGTTCTGCACACAAATACTCACACACTTCATAATCTCCTCTAAAAAATAAGAAAACTAACATTTTTGCTTTTTAAAAAGCCAACAGACAGTAATATAAACATTCAAGGATATATTTTTTGTCTTCCCTACAATTCTCATTAATGCTCAACAAGAAGAATGCCATCATTTTAAATCTATTCTTGTTACTGTAGGATGTGACTACATTTTATCTTATAGGATTTGAGCTAGCTGCAGGTTTAGAGGGTATATTTACAGAGGCAGCAGAGACTTGTCTAGGTTTTGTGTGCAGAAACTCATTCAACACTGATGCTCTCAAAGGGAACAAATATTTAATACTGAGAAGGATGGACTAGTTTTTGTTGTTGGCATTCTTAAAAAAAAAAAGCTTTATAGCATAGCAATTTACATGCATAGAGATGAAAAATACTCATTCAATAATACATGAAATGCACTAGAGCAAAGGATAGCTAGAACTTTGGGACCAAGTCATTTCCCTCTCCCAGAGATCAACAAAATACCTTCCTGCTCAGAAGTCATTTTGAACATCTCAGAGCAGTGCATGCTTCCTTGGTTTCTCTCACTTGGTGTTCACCAATAATAAATGTAAAAAGAATTTTGACCAATTTGATATGGTGACTAACTTGGTCTCATTACAACAAGGTGGGTCCATTATGAAAACAGAAACAAACAAACAAACAAAAAAATCTATGTACAATACTAATAATCAACATACCCAGCAGAAGTACAGTAAACTCTCATTTGCCCAAGCTGTGCATCAAACATGCAGACAATCGAAGTAGCTTAATCACAGAATGGTTAGAGTTGGAAGGGACCTTAAAGATCATCTCGTTCCAACCCCCCTGCTGTTGGCTGGAACACCTCCACTAGAGCAGGTTGCTCAAAGAATGCTGAGGCATCTTGGGGTCTGGCTTAATTTATTTAATTTATACAGAGCACATCTACATTTGCACAGTGCTGCTTCTGCAGCCGTCAGGAGCCCGTAATGCAGTCTAATGCCTCCTGCACTACTCGGAGTATAAGCTGAAATTCTGACACACCTGAGCCTCTTATCTGTCAAACCAGCTCTAAGGTCCATCTGCTACAGTCTGGAAACAAAGAGCACAATGTGGACAACTGCGACAGTTTTTCCATGAACCAATCCCAAGTCTAGCTACATCTCAAGTGAGTCGTGCGTCAGCCTGATGCACCCCTGTGGGCAGGGTTCAGGGAAGATGGATTGTCTGGTGCTGCACATCCTGAACACACCGAGCCAACCAAGTGAGACTGCCAAGCAGCACGGTGCAGCCAAGCAAAGATGACTGCTGAGAAGCACAGCGCAGAGGCAGCAACAGCCCCATAGAGCAGCCAGCAACTCAGCTCACATCTTCTCAGCGTGAGCTACACTGGACTTGGACTGGTCCACACAGAACCAGTATCCATATCCTCCCAGTATCCACAGATCTCAGAACGTATCCTATGCTGTTCTGTAATACAGAGAGCTAGATGGCATCACCTCAGTGTTGAATACACACACTTTTCCCATAACAGGTTGAAAAGGTGTATTGTCATCTATAACG